AATTTATTATTCTACTTCTATGACAAAGTAGAACCTACAAACTAATATTCAAATTTCACAAGTGAAATTTTGGAATACAAAAACTTCTTCCCTGTTATGACATAATGCTGGAGGTCTGCAAAGAGAAGCAGAGGATGGCAGGACAAGAAGATCTACTGGGGTTACAGAACAAAATATGAAAAATTATGTTTATTAATGTGTCTTATATTCTTTTTAAGATTTATCTAGGTATTTCCTTTGAAGCTTTCATAATGTATTTGTATATATAAATAAGTCTCAAAATCAATTGGACCTTTAAAAATGAAAGCTTATGCCTATATCTATTAACTTCTTGTTGTTGTTAAGTGCCATCGAATCGATTCCGACCCATAGCGACCCTATATAAGGTTTCCAAAGAGCAGCTGGTGAGCTTGAACCACCGACCTTGCAGTTCAAATGACTTTGCAGGCTTGACACATTAGACCACAGAGCCACACCAAGACTCCATAACTATTACCTAAGGTAGGTAAAATGGTATTGCAGGATAAGCACTAGACAGCATGGTCAGTTTGAGCTGAAAGGTGGGTGGTTCAAACTCACCAGCCGTTCCTTAGAAACCCTATACGGGGTTGCTATGAGTCAGAACTGACTCAAGGGCACTTAACAACAACAGGGTATGTGACAAAAAATCTGGAAAGAACTAGTAGCAAGTGCAAATGGAATGATGCCACTTGGATTTTGAGTTTAAAATATTGCAAAGATAGAATTTTTAAAGTCTTCGGTCATATACTGAAAATTGTTTTTTAAAATCTATCATTATAACATATGTTTTCTTCAGGCAAAATACCTCTAAACAGTATTCTCCACTACACTTAAAGTGCATGTTGAGCTTGTTAAAAATGCAAGTCTTATACCCAGAGGTGGGGATTCCATAGGTCTTAGGTCAAGCAAAAATCATTAGTCTTCTCAAGAGATTAGGAGAGCAGTTTAATATAACTGATTTTTTTTAAGCCAGAAATTATTGCTTCAAAGGATTGTCCCATCTTGTACACTGTAGAATGTTTAGCAGCATCACTGGTCTCTACACACTAGAAGCCAACAGCACCCTACCAGACTCCCAGTTGTGACCACAGAACAGGTCTCTAGATATTATCAAATATCTCATGGAGAACAAAACTGCCTCCAGTTGAAAACCAGAGATAGAAGCTGTCCAAAGATGACATACATTAAACAACATCATTCATAATCAAAAGGTTGAAATAATATAGAAGTAAAAGAAAATGAATATGTACATGCATGCATTACAAAGTGAAATAAACAAGCTTCCCAAAAGGCACTCTGATTAGCCACTATAAACTCCTGACATGTCAGCTAAGCTTTTAAATCAAAGCTCTTCCTATGTAATTTCAAATCGAAGTTTCTCTCCCTAGCTTCTATTTTAGATTATTTTTAATTAACTTCACTGGCATTTTGCATCCTGCTATGAAAAGTCAGCCTAATAGTCTCAGAGGACTTTCCCAAGAGGGAAGAGTACATTAAATCACACATTATCACAGAGCAGATTTCAGGGCTGAGCCCAATAGCCTAATCCTCCACAAGTACAAGGGGGGAATCAGGAACTGGAACTGGCTCAAGTGATTTATAATATCCAAAGTCTATTATCTTTGATGCATCAATCCATACCACTTCCCCCCACAAAAAAAGTTGTATTGATTCTGTACTTCAAACACATTCATCAAAATGACTTACAGCTTTTCAATCTGTGTTTCCACCCTGATTTCCTTCTATTGGCATATGTGAGACTTTGGGCAAGTCACTAAATTCTTTAGGACATCCCTCACCTAAAACATGAGAAAGCTGGGCTAAATTATTTCTAAAAGTTCCTCCAACTGTAAATGGCACAACTTATGAGTGAAACATTTAACTAAGAGTCTATTTCAAATAGATGGATAAAAGTCACTCAAAAACAGGACAGCCATCTCAGTGGCACCGAGCAACAACATTATGCCAAATTGCAAATACCTACATATTTTGTTGTTGCTTGGTAAACTCAAAAATTTTTAAGATTTTTATTCAAAAAAAAAAAAAACCACCAAAAGTTAGGACAGCTAAAAGGACAATTAAGAGAAACCATACCTATAAAATTTATTCTCTCTTAAAACAAAAATAAGTGTGACCCCAGCTGTCTGTCACCCACCAAGGCTTTGTAAGAAAGGCAAATTAGCCTTTCAGAAGTTCTTCATTAGTAGGGCAATCGGTTTAAATCACACATTTCCGTTCTAATTTCTGTAGCAAAGATCACAAATCAGTGGCTCAGAAACCACACCCAGCTTTTAGGTGTGTTTATTTTATTTGGCCTGGACAACTATTGTATTGAATTAGTTGCCAGCATTTAAAATCAGGGAGAAGATATATTAAAGATCCATATTTCTCATTTTCCTTGAAATCCTCAGAGATATTAACCCATAGGATAGCAATTATTTGGAGCTAAGGAGTGTCTGTGTTGTTGTTCTATGACCCTGGAGCTCTCAACAGTACGTAAAGGCTCCTCTGCTACCTATCATATGCCACCCAACACAGTTCCCTGTGACATCCGGGCTTTTGTAGCATGTGAGTTTATGACCCTGTTTTCCACTAACTGTCAAAACATATTTCTTTTTTTTTAATTTAATATTTTTAAAGCAATAGTAAAGCTTGTAGAATTACACACACAACACACACACACACAAAATATATATATATGTGTGTGTATGGGTAGAAGTTTTAGGGAGGCAAAATTCCCCAAAGAAGGAAAATCTCCCTATCTCTTAGTGCTGATAAGTAGGCTCAACTACACTGTTTTTTTCTAAGGATGTAGAAAGGGATCTTAGATTTGCTGGGAAGGTTGGACCAGAGATTTTCTAAAAGAAATTTCCAACTTTTCAGATTCTGTACCTCTGGTTAGCAGTACAGATAGATCATCAAGCAACACTCATATACGTTTAGCTTTGTTGGCAGGGAAAGGCTTTATCTTATCTTCCCTCTTCATAAAAAGACATTTTTCCATTAACGTTCAAGTAGCACTGTTTCTCACAGATTTTCTTATACAGAAGTCTAACATTAAGTTTCAATGAACAACTCTTCAGAAAGGATGCCAGGGAATTCCATGACAGAAGGAAGATGATAAAAGAAATTGAGGAATGGCTTAAGAGTTGAGTAAACTGTGAGCAAAGTTGCTTTGTAAGCTCATTTTTTAAAAAACAACTGCTGCTGGACAAAATCATCTTAACCACGGGACCCTGCACCTTGAAGCTTCTTGCTTATCCACCTGTTCCCCACCCCCTACCACCACCACCAAAAAAAAAAAAAAGTTTCCTTTAAAATACACTGCTAAAGATAAAATGCTTTAACAAGATCCTGTGGATTTTCTTTTCAAAACTTCAACTTAATATTACATCTACAATTAAACAGATGCTTTTGTAAAGAATGCTTTGAGCCAAAGCTAAACTAATAAACAACTAATGTGTAACAATGTTGCTAAAGCTAAAGCAATTTTCAGGTAAAATAAAACCCAAGGTTTTCTTCTCTGATATAAGTATGTGAGGCTTTTAAACAGACATTCTACTCCAGACCCCAGAGGTCCTGCTGCTTACAATAAGATCACGTGACACCAGACAGGTGCATTAAATGCCTCTGCCATTTCTTCCCACTAATTTTCAAAAAGCATACTATTATAATAAAGATGGACAGGGTAGACATCAACTATTTCCAAATCAAATACTTTTCCCAGTATTTGACACTGATTTCTGACACAAGCATTGTTTAACAATGGTGATTAACAGCTCAAGTGTGAGCCTACACAGCACACCCATGAGTCGATATGACTACTGAGAGCAGGCGAAGACAGGAAAATGATTGTGTTGACAACACATGTGCAGAACATGAGCTGCTTCTGGGAAAACATATGTTTATTATTCTACTTCTCATCTTTTTTGTAGCTAATCATTTTTATTTTCTCTGTTTAGAAAGCAGGAGTCACTTAAGATGTGAAAAACAAATATAAATGCAATTCGGTTTAACTGAAAGCCAGAGAGTTGCCATTTACCCATGAATGTTTTCTGGTTTTCACCTAGTGTAAACTCAATATCAAGTTCACTTACTCTTTTCCACCTTTTATTTTTGCATTTAAAAAAACAAAATCCCAAGAAGCTCACTACATTATTGTTAAAAGTGGGGAGGGCGGGAGCTTTCAGATATGCTTAAAATCAAGAGTATAAAGTGGGTTTTTGAGCCCTGAAGGAATTATTTCTTTCATATCAGTGTCAGAACTCTTTAAATCAGAACTGTCAGTGGGGGAAGACACCAGAAGAGTAGGTCCTTGTTCCCCATCACCAACGCAAACCTGAAGGATGTTACCTCCAAGAGAAGGCACTGTCTAACTTGCTTCTCAACTTGTTACGAAGGTTCCCAAAAACAAAAGTATTTTCTGTTATGGGCTGCACGTGTTTATACTTCTGAACGAACACAAAGGAGTTAACTCACTCTTGGAAATGCATGTTTTAAAACATGTTTATTTCTATAAAATAAAAATAAAAAGTTATTGAAAGCATATGCAAGCGCTATGCTGAAGAAATTTATCCCAGACACCTGGATTATCACCCGGATTGCAGAGTGGCCCAAAAGACATGGAAGATGAAACGGAGGCTACATGCTTGTTCAGAGAGCAGATGCATCCTGGATCTGCTAAGGACACAAAACTACAGGAGAGCTAAAGGAGAAGAGCTTTAGAACCCCACACAAGGGAGTCTTAGGCCCAGAAAGGCCATCCAGTAATGTTAGTTCCTCCGCAGCCCAAGGAAGAGGGAGTGTAGGGATGGTTGTTGATCTAGGACAGGAATCTAGGAGAACTTGCTAGAGTTACGATTAACTGTGCCAAAGTTTTCAACTACCACTGCCCTCCTCTTGCCAATCAGCAAATGTGTCCGCAAAATGAAAACTTAAACAACGAGAAAGAAGCTTGCAATTTGCAAGCTCACACTCACCCTGGGCCGGGGCGCCGAGTCGGCCGCCGCCCGCCTCGGCTGTGCGCTGAGGCCCCGTGGGCCCGGGAGCGAGGGCTTCGCCCGCGCCGGACATGAGCCGCCGCCGCCGCCGCCCCGCGCCGCCCGACCGCCTAGCTGACCGCCCCACGGGGCGTACGCACGAAGGGCCGGGAGATGCCGGGTGCTGCGAGTTGACTGCTTCTGGCGGAAGAAAGAAAAAAAAAGTGTTTTTAGTGAAGAGCATACCACCCATGTGGGACAGTCCCTCCTCCTCCGCGTCCCTCCCCTAAGCCCCACCCCGGGGAAGTTTTGATTTGAACTCGGAGAGGAAAACTGTTACACAGCAAGTTGACAGTGGTGTCGTCCTGGGGGGTCGAAGGGCCGAAAAGGAAGTGGGCCTGGGGGCTGGGAAGAGAGGTTGGAGAATCGCAGGGGAGGGGACCCCAGTCCCTCCTGCCCCAGCTGATCGATCACCACCTACCTCAGCATCCCCCCACCTCGTTCAGAGCCCCTTCCACATCCTTCTCTTCCGCTCAGAAAGTTAGTGAGGTTCCTGCAGCCGCATAACCTCGTCCCAGTGGCCTGGCGGAGCCGCCCGGAGCGCCCTCCCGCCTCGCTCCCTAGGCGCAGCTCCGACGCCGCAGAGACGGCAACGGCGGCTCCTCCGGCTTCTCGGGCTCCCCGCACTCCGCCCCTCGCCCCTGTCGACTCACTCCGGCCAGTGCCGGCCAAAGAGGACTCTCCCCACTCAGCCTCTGTTTGCGCCTTCCACCGCTCCTGGACTCCAGCAACAGTTCGGCCCCTGTAGCTCTTTTTCATCACACCCGGATGAGCGAGGCCTCGAACTCTTGGCGGAAAGCCCCTGAGGCTAGGGGCGGTACAGGCTCCTCGGGTCTGTGCTGAGTCAGGAAGCCAAAGCCAGAGAGAACCAGAGCTGATTCCCCGCCCAAGGGCCTCCTGGCGCCTGGAGAAGGCGGAGATTGCTGGTCCCTTGCCACCCAGGCTTCCCCCTACCCTAAGAATCACCCGGTTCCTTCTCAAGTCTTTCTCCCAATTCTGTCTCCTGGCTGACTGATGCTCTGTAAGTGCCCTGAAGGAAGTAGAAACCTTTAGGATGGACAAGACATAAAAAAATTACTCAAGTGTCACACTCTCCAAGTGGAAATAAAGGGTGCATTTGAAAAGACCTCCAGCTGAGCTTCCAATCTCTGGCTCTGAAATGTTGGGGGGTTTTGTTTTGTTTTTTAATTATATGTTTATTTTTGTATAACAGGTTCCCTGATCAGGTAAAACCAGTTGCATGGATTAGCTGGAAGCATCCAGGCATGCAAAGATGACAACCCTGAAGGTGGCCTGGCCAGAAGGAGAAGCCAGCCTACTACACACTTATGCATACCTTTACAGATAGCTTCTGTTGGGAAATAAACATATGATGTTGTTGCTGTTAAGTGCCTTCCAGTATGTTCTGACCCATAGCTACCCATGGGGTTTCTGAGGAGCAGCTGGTGAGCTTGAACCACCGCTGTTACAATTCAAACGGCTTTGCAGTCTGGCACATTAACCCACAGCGCCACAAACATGTGATAGGAAGTTTAAAACTGATCACTTTCTGTTTATAAGTGAGTAGCTTTGATTGTAGTTTAATGTGATGAACCAAGAATAAGGAATATAATTAGCAGACAGAAAGTACTTAAGTAATGCATTCTGTAACTGCTCTTTACTTCATTGTGAGTTGCAGAACTCATTTTTGATTTGCAGAACAGGATCACAATAATGCAATCAAAACTGAAGAAAATGTACATTTTCTTTGGTTGGATACACCTTGTCTCTGGATGTATCACTAAAGGAAATCCCAGATATTTAAGTTCTTCAAAAAGTCAGACATTCCCAGTGAAGGAGGCTTCCTGTGGAGCCCCTGCATTACACAAGACCATAGATGGAATCCTGAACAGCATCCAGAATCTTCTGAGGGAAAAAGTCCACTTGAAAGGACAAGCAGACCAGCCTGGAGTGGCCAGAAGAACAGAATATACATCCTGAAAGAAAGACTGATCAGAAAAACACAAAGCAATATAGGCAGTCCAACTGATTACTACAAGAACAAACAAGTGGCTTGCCAAGGAGACATCAAGGCAAGTGGTCGGGTCCCTTCAAGGCAAACCCCCTTCTAAAACTAAGGCTCAATGGGAATGCACACTCTGATTGGTGACCACTTTCTTCACCAACAAGGGGAAGTGA